AGATGGAGGCGGCCTCGGGCTCCAGCGCGATCAGGAGCTGCTCTGGGCTCTCTGGGGACACCAGCCCGGCCTGGGGACACGGGGGGTCAGGGCAGGGGCCCCCCAACGACACAACCACCAAACAACCACCCAACCCACGACCTGAGCACCAAACCACCCACCCAGCATCAATCAATCACCCAACCGCTGACCCAGCCCCTCAGCCAGCCAACCAACCACCCACCCAACCCCTGCACCACCCAAATAACAACCCAACCAGCCCTGTAAACACTCGACCACTGACCCAGCTGTTCACCCAGCCCCTCAGACACCCACCCACCGAACCACTCAACCAACCACTCAAGGAATTATCCAGCCGCCCAACCAGCCAACAACTCCTGGTTTGGCTCAGGTTGAAAGGGACCTTAAACCCCGTTCCCCTCCACCCCTGCCACGGGCAGGGACCTCTTCCTTCCTCTCCCCCACCTTGTAGGCCGCCTCCCTCATGAACTGCTTGGCCGGCTGCTTCCAGATGGCGGGCACGGTGAGCACCCAGCGGATGGCCCCGCTCTGGGGCAGCGACGGGCACTGCTCCTGCAGCTCCTGCCAGACACGCAGGGGGTGACCCCGGCTCGAGGGGGAATCATGGGGAACCATGGAACGGGGGGGGCTGGGAGGGACCTCAAAGCCCAGCGATCCTGCCCCGGGCAGGGACACCTCCCCCTGTCCCAGGTGGTCCCAAGCCCCTCCCGGCCTGGCCCAGGTGCCCACCTGCACCGCGTGCTGCTTGAAGAAGCGCAGGGCGTGGGCGAACACCTCCAGCGCCGGCATCTTCTTCCCGTTGACGGCCTCCAGCTCGGTCTTCATGGACAGATCCTGCCGGGAAGAGCACGTGGATCACACGAGGTGCCAGGAGCTGGCCGGGTGCCCACCCCCCTGTGCCCACCGGAGCAGATGGAGCAACTTTGAGCAGCCACATCCACCTTCCCCCGGGGCCGCCGGGCTGGGGAACCACAACCCCTCAAATGGGCTGCAGGGTGGGTTTTCCTGGCATTACAACCCCCAGCCTGGCTGGGGACACAGCACAGCGGGGCTGTGAGGCCGGAGCAGGGACTCACGCTGGTGCTGTGGATCTTCATCTTGAACTTCTCGAAGTAGAGCCACTCACGGGCCTCCTCGGGGTCCAGGTCGTGGTAGTAGTCGCGGGCGGTGTAGCCGAAGCTGTGGAAGGTCCCCTCTGGAGTCAGCAGGAGGCTGGTGGGGGTCTTCTGGTTGGCCACCCCCGGGTCCCCCCCTTCCCATTTCCTGCAAAGAGGAACCAGAGCAGATGAACCTCCGGGTCGGGGAGGTCCTGGCAGGTTTAATTTATTTATATGGGCACAACCTCGAGCACCTCAGAGGGACAAAGGAGAAAGGGAAGGGGTGGATATTGCTCTGTCCTCCTGCTCCCTGGAGGAATTTCATGGAATTCCACACTAGTTTGGGCTGAGAGGGACCTTAAAGCCCACCCAGTGCCACTCTCTGCCATGAGCAGGGACACCTTCCACCAGCCCAGGTTGCTCAAAGCCCCATCCTTGGACACTCCCAGGGATGGGACAGCCACAGCTTCTCTGGGAAATTCATTCCAGGGCCTCCCCACCCTCACAGGGAAGAATTTCTTCCCAGTATCCCTCCCATCCTTTTTCCAGGGTGAAGCCCTTCCCTGTGTCCTGTCCCTCCATGCCTTGTCCCCAGTCCCTCTCCAGCTCTCCTGGAGCCCCTTTAGGCCCTGCCAGGGGCTCTCAGGTCTTCTTGGAGCCTTCTCTTCTTCAGGGGAACCCCCCCAGCTCTCCCAGCCTGGCTCCAGAGCAGAGGGGCTCCAGCCCTCAGAGCATCCTCATTCCACAGCAGCTCCCACCCGTCACTGCCAGGCAGCATTGCCAACCTTCCCTGTATGTCCCGCCCCAGCAATCCAACTTCCCCCTGTTTTGGGGCCAAAGGAGCCCTGTCCCAGTGCCTGGAGCAGCCCCTCACCTCATCATGTGGATGGCCTCGGGGTCGCTGGTGAAGCTGAAGGCATACCCGCTGGACGTGGTGCCGAAGTCGATGGCCACGACCACGGCGAAGGAGGGGCCCTGCTGGGAACGGGCCTCGCTCCTCTGCGAGGCAGGGACAGCATCAGGGCTGGGCTGCAGCACCCACCTGGGGCTGCCTGCTCCCAGAAAAGGGGGGAAAACCCCGGGAAGGGGCTCATTTTTGCAGGATCAAGCACTGCGAGGGCTGTGCAGTTCGGTGCTTCCCTGGTTTCCTCCACACCCGGCAATTCCCCCTCCCACACAGCTCCACAGCACTGGGGAAAACATCTCCCGGGTTCCACGGGGTGGCTGAGGTGCTTCCCAAAGGGACACGGGGATTTGGGCAGTCCCTGAGAGGGATGGGTGCCCACAGCCAGGGGACCTGCCTGCCTGTTCTTGTCGTGGTGCTGAGCCCGCCTCACCCGAGCCCTGAAATCTGAGCTGAGGTTCCCCAAAACCTTCCCTGTGCCCCATCTCGCTCCAAGAGACCTTTTCCCAGGGTCACCCAGTCCAAATCCTTGCTGGCCCGGGTGTTTTGCGGGGTCCCACAGCTGGATTCCCTGTCCCTGCTCCGTGTGCGGTCCCTTCCCCCCGCGTGTGGCGGTGGATCCGTGCGGATGTGACAAGCGCCGTATCCGTGTCACCTCCGCGCACGGCAGACATGGGAAGCTAAAAGCCCTCGTTAACATTTAATGTCCCGGATTCGCTAAGTGCAGACACGAGGCGGCCCTGGAAAAGCGGGATCGGCAGGGCCGAGGCGGCTGCCGCAGGAATGTGCAGGGACGGCGAGTGCCGGGGAGGAACCAGCGAGGAACGCGCCCTCCCAGCGCGGACAGGGGCAGCCTGGGGGCAGCGGCCCCGCAGTTACACTTATCCCGGGCTGGAAAAGCCCTCCATCCCGGAAATCCCACGGATAAGGGTCCTGGAGAGGGACTGACCCGTCCTGTGGCACTGGGGGGTGAGGGCGGTCAGACTGGGGGGGAGCAGAGACCAGGGGAGGATCGAGGGGGCAAGGACAGGGACACAGACCCTGGCAGCCCTTGGGGACCCCACAACTGCCTTCCTGGGGACCCCACAACTGCCTTCCTGGGCCCCACACTCGTCCCCCTGCCCCCCCGGGAGCGCTGGTGGTCCCTGATAACTCACGGGGGACTGGGAGGGCGTCAGGGGGGCGATGCTGCAGCTGTCGTGGGGTGTCCCCGGCGTGCCGGGGGGGGTCGGTGTCGGGCAGCGCTCGTCGTTGGCTCCTGGGGACACAGACAGGTGACTTTGGGGTGGGAAGGGGCCCCGGACCCTCCTGGAGACCCTTTCCCGAGGTGAGGACCACAATGGAGACACATCCCCGGGAGCCCCTCACCCTCCCTGTCCTCTCAGGTGACCCCCCAGCTGCTCCAGCAACAGAATTCCAGTCCTGGGAACCCCCACTCACCCCAGTGCCAGGATGAGGGGAGCCTCAGGTCCCCCCACACAGCGGGGACAGGAGGCTATCCCACCCACGCTCCGCTGGCACAGGGATCCAATTAACAGCCAGGGTTAATCACTGCCCACGGCAGGGCCCACGGGTGGACAGGCTCCAGCTGGAGGGATGGCTGGAAAGGGGCTGGTGGAGCTGATGGAGTGGGACCACCTTTCCCAAGGGATTGGCTGGCTCTGGATGGGGTGTGGTGGGAATGGGACACGAGATAGACAGAGGGACCACCCACCCCACGGACACTGCCAACACTCATGCTTTGGGATCGCCCCTCCAGCCAGGATCCTGCCGGGATCCCTACCAGTTTGCAGCAGGAGACCCCAGGGCAGCTCCCTAAACCCCTCTGGCAGCTCGGGAGCCGCGGGCTCTGCAGAGGGGGGGCTTCAGGACCCCCCAACAGCAGCAGCCGTGGAGTTGGGGTTGGACTGATCCCAACTTTCCAGTGTCCAGAGAAGAGCCGAGGCACCGGCACATCACGGAGTGGGGGACAGGGATTGCCACGTCCCCCCCCGGGAGCTGGGCCGGGGGGGCTCCACTCCCCCCCGTGAAGTGTCTCCTGTCCCTTACACCTGCTCCGTGAGTGCCTTTCCCTGTACCCCGCGCCTGTCCCATGAATATTTGATCCCAGACAAAGCGGGATGTCTCTCCTCGTGCGGCAGAGCCCCGCTGGGAAGGGGCTGGGGGGGGAGTGGTGACCTCCCCGGGGGTGCAGGAGCCGTGAACACGAAAGATCATTCCTGGAGGGGAGGGCAGTGATCCGGGGGGACCCCGCAGGGGGGTAATTCCTGCCGCGGCCCCCGCGCTCCGGCGGCTCCCGGGGTTGGGATGCTGGGATCAGGTTTCCTCCCGCAGCTGGTTCTGGTTACCCCGGCGCGGGAGCGGCGAGGGGGCTGCGGGAGGGGGAGCCGATCGGTGGGACACCCGAGTGCGGGAGGGACCCCGAGCTCGTCTGGGGAGGCGGGAGACTCCCCACGCCGTGCCAGCCCCCCCGGGCCCCCTCCCGGGATCATCCTTACCCATCCGCAGGCTCTGCATCCCGGGCTCCAGGAGCATCGCCATGGCCGCGCTTCCCGCCTGCAAGAGAGTCGGGACAGTGGGACAGGGGGCCGTGTGTCCCCTCGGCACTGGGGGATCCACAGCGAACCCTCAGAGCGGGGCTGGGTGAGCACAGACTGGACCACCCCTAAAAAACCCACCAGGGACGGGGCTAACCCTTCCCAGGGCCCCGCAGGAGCAGGGGGGGGGACCCCAAAACTCAGGTCCCAACGGGCTGTGGGAGGACGGGGGGTGGTGGGACGGGCTGTCCCAGTCTGGGGGGACAGCTGGCACCCGTCGGGATGTCACCGACTGCCACGGCCACCGCGGGAGCAGGAACCAGGTTCCTCTTGCTGGGCAGTCAGGCAGATGTGTGAGATACAGATGTGTGGGATACAGATGTGTGGGATACAGATGTGTGCAAAATGCTGCTCCAGCACATTTTTAGGCTCCAAGAGGTTATTTTGGGGGTTATTTAGAAAACATTTAAACTTGTTTTCCTGCTGGAAGCACCGGCCGAGGAGCAGGAATGGCCAAAGGGATCCCGGTTCATCCGAGGGGTTGGGACCCAGCGCCGACCAGCTCCAAAACTGCTGCCAGGGATAATCACCCGGCTCCTGGCTCTCTGCCCGAGGCCAGGGCAATCCCAGCACCTCTGGGTCCCTGCCCCGCTCCAGACGCTCTCGTCCCGCTCTCATCCCCCTCTGATCTCTCCCCCATCCCACTCTGATCCCGCTCCATCCCGCCGAGCCGCGGGCTCGGGACAGGGCTGAGCTCATCGGGAGAGGCCTCGCTCTGAGCCAAACCCACCCCCGAGCTGCAGCCCTCGCCTGCTCTGGGCAGCCTCCAACCCCCAAAAAAGCCTCAGGATAAAAGGGGCAGGTGGGGAGCTTTCCTCTGGAATGGGGGATCAGCTCTGACCACCCCGGTGTGGGAGCAGAGAGGGGGCTGAGGGTCAGACCACAGCAGGGAACACGGTGCTGGTGGTCCTGGCAGGGCACAGAGGAGGGTCCTGGCGGGCTGACACTGTCACAGGGGCTTCTCTACCGAAACGGGGCTTTCCAGGATGTTGTCCCACAAGGACACACTCGAGGGATCAGCCCCCAGCGCTGGGATTGGGGTCTCCACTGGCAGAAATGCTGCTTGGGGGTTGGACCCCTTCAGGGATGGGTTGGGGGTGACCCCGGGAGTGTTCCCCCCCATGGGGGATGTGCAGGGATGTCCCCGTGTCCCCACCCCCGGGGGCTGAGCTCCCCCATCCCATGGGTGGGCAGGACCATCAGCCCGAGCCGGAGGGACACTCCAGTCCTCGGCGGCCCCTTGGTCCTGTCCCCTGTCCCTGTGGCTGTGGGGGCCAGGGGGTCCATCCCAAACCTGTGTAGCCCCTCAGGCTCCAGTGGCCCAAATCCTGCACCCCGGCAAACCAGGGCTGGTCGGGGGGGACACTGAGCCCACCTTTGTCCCCAAGGTGCCTGAGGACAAGCCTGGGGTCTTGGCAGGAGGGGAAGGGGGGGGCCCAGCCCCCCGAAGTGCCCCCCAGCCCCCTGAGGGGTTTCACCCGACTCTGCCCCTCCTGCTGCAGACCCGGGTTGGGCACCCTGGGGGCTGGGAAGGTTTTGGGGTGCCCATAGAGCCCAGCACCCCCACAGTCCCAGTGGGTGGGCACAGGTGGACCCCCCTCCCCACGCACACACCAGCCCTGGTGTCCCCAGCGCTGTCCCCACACAGGCCCCGGGCAGTGACAATGCTGTTGTCACCTCCAGGGGACACAGGCCCGAGCCCCCAGCCCTGGGGATCCCTGCAGTGCCCCGAGGGCCAGGATCCCTGGAAGATCGTGATCCCCCTCTGGCAGTTTGTGCAGGAGCAGCAATTTTTTAGGACTTTCCACCACTTCCACCTCTGCAGGAAATGGGGAGAGGAAACAAGTTTGGGAAGGGAACAGGGTGGTGGGGCCAGGAATGACACCGGGGCTGTGGCACCAGAGCCCTGGCACGGCTGATCATGGCATGGGATTGTGGGCATGGTGTCCCCACAGCTTGGGATGTCCCCACAGCTCGGGGTGTCCCCACAGCTCGGGGTGTCCCCACAGCGTGGGTTTGCCCACGCTTCGGGGTGTCCCCCATTGGGGACCTCGGGGCAGCTGTGGGGCTCAGATCCAGATGTGTGGGAGCCGGGGGAGGTGTCAGTCCCCACATCCCTCGGGTGCCAGGGGTGGGCTCGGCTGTGGGGCTGGGAGGCCCCCAAACCCTCCAGGTGGAGCTGTTGGGGTTCTGTGGAGTTTTGGGGGTCCCTCCCCGTCCCCCCTGCACGGCTGGGACACGGGAGCTGTGGGGTGTCCCTGGCACGGGCAGCCACAGTCCCTGCAGGGTGCTGGCACATCACGGTGCTGTCCCTGCAGTGTCCCCAGCGGTCACAGCAGTGTCCCCCAGGAGAGGGCATGGGGGACAGACCCACGGTGAGTGTCCATCCCCACTCCCACCCGCGCCCACACCCCCATCCCCACCGGGGGCAGGCCCTGGAGTCCTGGCACCCCCCAGTACCTCTGTGCTCCCTCTCCGGTGTCCCCAAACTGGGCAGAGCCCCCAGGGGAGGTGTCACCCTCACCTCGACCGAGGGACGAGGTTGATCCCCTGCTCCCCTCGTTCCCCCTCCTCGGGCAGTGCCCCGTTGTCCCCCCGCGCCCTCCAACCCCCCCGCTTACCGCTAAGGGAGGGGGAACACGGCTCGGGGACCCCTCGGTGCAGCCAGGGCCGTCTCGGGCCGGCTGTGGCCGCGGGGTGGTGGCTCTGTCCCCGTGCTGCCCGCGGGGTGGTGGCTCTGTCCCTGTGCTGCCCGCGGGGTGGTGGCTCTGTCCCCGTCCTGCCCGCGGCTCCGTCCCCGCCCGGGCCCCGCGCAGCCCCCCGCGCTCCGGCTTCCTCCCACTCCCAGTCCCGGCCCAGCCAGCGCCTCAAATTGCAATTCCAGCTGCAGATGTGGGAGCGGGAGGAGGAGGAGGAGGAGGAGGAGGCAGGGCCAGCACCGCCGGCCGCGGAACCTCCACTCCCCGCTCGGGGCACCGCGGCCACCGAAGGGGACGGACCCCCGGGGGCCTGGGGGGTCCCAAACCAGCCAGGGTGGGGGGACACCATCGAGGGGACACCCCGACACCCCCCAGCTCCGTCAGCGCCCCTTCATTTGCCTGAATTGGCGCGTTTCTCTCCAGGTTTTGTCCCTCTCTATCCCGGGGACACCGGCACAGCCCCTCGGCTCCCTCCGTCGGTCTGTCCCGACGTGCAGCCCCAGCCCGGCTCCACAGCCCCCCCTTCTCCCGGCCCCCCCGGGCCATACCCCTCCCCAGGGGGGTCTCCTGGCCCGGGTGTGCTGGGGGGTCCCGGGGGCGGGAGGAGGAGAAGGAGGGCTCCGTCCTGCCTCTCCCAAAGGTCTCTGTGATGGGAAGAAACTGGCCTGGAAGGCCTCAAATGCGCGGGCAGATCACCGGGATCATTGGGATCATCCTGATAATTGGGATACTTGGGACCGTTGGCGTCACTGAGAGAGCTGAGGTGGTTGGGAACACTGAGATAACTGGGATAGTTGAGATAATTTGGATCACTGAGATAGCTGGGATTGCTGGGATCGCTGGGGTAAGAGGGATTGTTTAAATCATTAGGATCACGGAGATAACTGGGATCACTGGGATCAGCGAGACCATTTGGAACACTGGAATAATTGGGATCAGTGAGGCTGTTGAAATCACCGGGATCACTGGGATTGTTGGGATCACTGGGATTGCTGGGATCACTAAGAGAGTTGGGATCACTGAGAGAGTTGGGATCATTCAGATTTTTGAGGTCACTGTGCTGGGGCTGTGCTGGGGTTGGAGGTGGCCAGGGGGGTCTCAGCCCCCTCAGCCCTGCCTGGCATCGCCACCCCGGGGCCGGGGAAGGTTCTGGAGGGGGGGGGATGGGTGTGGGGGGGTCAGGGCGGGGGCTCCGCCCGTGTTTGCATCCCTGGCTCCCGACAGGGATGAGGTAGCGCTTTCCGGGAATTGAGGCCCGGCCCATGGAAATGCCGCCCGGACAGGAAACCCGGGAGAGGACGGGGAACGGGGCTGGGAGCGAGCTCCAGAGCCAGCGGGGACAGCAGGGACAGGCCAGGCCGGTGTGTCCCCGCCGCGATGGCATCAGTGTCCCCATCCAGGGAGCCGGGACAGGCGCTGGGCAGCCCGGCCCCTCCTGCCCAGTTTGCCCAGTTTGCTCCTCCAAAGGCAGGAAGCTGCTCCTGGGGGCAAACTGGGCCTTCCCGACCCAGGACCTGCAGCATGAGGGGGAAATCTTCATCATCAGCGTCATCTCCAGCACCATCAGCACCATCTCCCACCCAGG